GACTACTTTGATGACCTAGAATGACTTGCCAAGCTTGCTGGAATTTGGGATGATGTGGCAGATGACAGGAGGATGGTCAAGACCCTCAAGAGAGGATCTCCACCCTCATACATCATGATGATCTTGGCTATCAGGAAATTCATTCTGAAGGGCTATGATGAGTGAAAAGAATGAATCATCAAGATGTACAAGGAGTGACAGCAACAGAAAGTGGAGCAGTCTAATCTACAAGACTCTCAAAAGCTAAATCAGCCTTTGGCTCTGAGCTCCAAAAACAACAGCACATCTGCTACTGCCAAGTCAGAATCATTGATGGCCAACATCTCTTATGGCACACAGAAGACAGAGACTGGAACAACATACACAGGAGCAGGGAAGCCCATGGACATTGACCAACTGAAGAAGGAGGGTAAGTGCTTCAACTGTGGCCAGAAAGGCCACATGTCAAAAGACTGCCTGAAAAAGAAACAAACCCATGAAGACATCAAGGCACAGATTGCTGAGTTACAGAAAGAAGCAGAGGAGCTCAGTGCAGAAACAAAGATTGAGGAAGTAAAAGACAGAGCCAACCAGTGAGCAATTCCACTTGGTTGGCCAAAGAACTTCATGGTGTGCAACCAATAGCTGCTGGACAGACTAATAGTACTTCTGTAGTTATGCCTATGCCTAAATTGTGCATGCATTTGAATATACCTGCACTTTCCACATCACACACCAAAGAATTGCCTAAGAAAACTCAACTGCCTATGGGCTGAATAGAGGAAGAGACCCCCACCCAATGGCTCAAACTGTTCAATACTGAATGGACCTGGAGGGCCATCCAAGAAGTGCCAATGAAAGAAGCAGCAAAAGCTGTACTCAAGAATTGGATATACAAAACCCAAGCCAAAGAAGTCATTGATGAAATGGTTGAGAGAATGCAAGAAGCCAAGAGGTGCTGAGCACTGGAATGGCTCAACAAATTAAAGAGACTCCAGAGATATGTTTGATGGGCTAAAACCCAGAGATGAGATCTGATGGTGAAAGCCTAAATCAAAATGCTTACAAACTGCTCAAAGCATGTAGTGACCACATTAGTTGACAGCAGCTGCACTGGTAGCTCAATAAACTGTGCTTTCATCAACAAGCACCAACTCTCAATCAGAGCTACTGCCACCCCAATCCTAGTATACAACACTGACAGGACCAAGAACCAGGCCAGGTCAATAACTGAGTTTGTTGAACTCCAATTTACTATCAGAGATCATTCTAAATGCATTGACCTCACAATTATCAATCTCAGAATAAAGAAAGTCTTTCTTGGTCATGACTGGCTGATCTGCCATAATCCCCTGATCAACTGGAAGACTGGGAGAATCACATTCACATGCTGCAAATGTCAAAGATTCCCTTCAGATTACTCAATGAAGACCCTGAGGATCAGTGGGATGAAGAAATGGAAGACAGAGAAACCATCCTTGCCATTGACATCCAGCAGGCTCTACATATACAAGCAATACACCATGCCAATGACTTGGCAGTGAAGGCTAATGCAGGAAAGGAAGAGAGAATGTTCAAAGAAATAATGCCTGAATAGGCATGAGACTTCAAAGACCTCTTTGAAAAAGAGTGTTTTGATGAACTTCCTGAACCAAAGCCCTGGGATCATGCAATTGAACTGATCCCCAATGTGAACACCAACCTCAACTGCAAAACATACCCACTTGGCAATAATGAGCAACAGGAGATTGATAAGTTCCTAGATGAAAACCTCTCCAGTGGATGGATCCAACCATTGAAATTCCCAATGGCTTCTCCATTTTTCTTTGTTAAGAAGAAAGATGGCAAACTCCAACTGGTCCAAGATTATAGAAAGCTCAACAAGATGACAAACAAGAATCATTACCCTCTTCTTTTAATCTCTGAATTAATGGACAAACTCCAAGAAGCCAAATATTATACCAAGCTTGATGTTCACTGGGGATATAACAGTGTTTGCATCAAAGAAAGTGATGAATGGAAGGCCATCTTCAGAACCAATTAGAGGCTATTTGAGCTGACAGTCATATTCTTTGGACTCATGAACTCACCCACCACCTTTCAGTGGATGATGAACAATATTTTTAAAGATCTCATCACCACCAGGAAGGTGACTATTTATCTTAATGACATCCTGATTATATCATAAACCAAAGAAGAGCACTGAGAGCTAGTATGACAGGTATTAGCTCTAATGAGGAACCACAAGCTTTTTCTCAAGGCAGAGAAATGTGAATTTGAGGCACTGGAGACAGAGTACCTCAGAGTTATCATCAGTGAAGGGAGTATTCATATAGACTCTATCAAGATGGCAGGGGTAATAGAATGGCTGGAACTGACAAAGAAGAAGAAACTCCAATCTTTTCTGAGGTTCACAAACTTCTACTGCTGGATCATTCAGGACTACAGCAAAATCATCTGACCCATGACACAGCTAACTGGCAATACCCCTTGGATGTGGAGCCCATCACAACAAGCAGTCTTTGAAGATCTAAAAAGGTGACTTGCTGAAGACATTGTCCTCACTATACCAACACAGGAAGAGAAGTTCTGGGTTGAGGCTGACTCCAGTGAGGGAGCCATTGGAGCCATATTATCTCAAGAACAGGAGGGAAAATAGTGACTGGTGGCCCTTCTATCAAAAGCCCTAACAGTGACCAAACAAAATTATGAGATTTATGACAAGGAGCTACTTGTGATAATGCTTGCCTTAGAAGAATGGTGACATTATCTGATCAGGGCCAAGCAGGTTTTTGAAGTCTGGACCAACCACCAGAACCTCTGATACTTCCAGCAGCCACAAAAGCTGAGCCAATACCAATACACTCTTCACCACAAGGTGGGATCCACCAACTAGAAGGCAGATCTCCTCAGCCAATGAGCAGATCATGATCAAGGAGAGACTGATAATGAAGGCATCACACTACTGAAACCAGAACACTTCAGAGCTATGATCATGCTGACAGAGGAGGAGATCTATGAGTGGATCAAGAGTGTGACAAGAGACAACAGCAAGTGAGATCAGAGAGTGGTCCCATCCCTGAATCAGAAGTGAGGCATGACAAAGGAAGAAGAGATAATCTGATATGACAGGTGGATCTATATCCTATGGGATCAAGAATTACATGACAAAATCATGGCCACATATCATGACCATATCATGGCAGAGCATCTGGAGATTGCAAAAACTAAAGAATTAGTCTTGTGAGAATACTGGTGGCCAAAGATGGGACAAGACATCAAGAAATATGTCAAGGGATGTGAAACATGCCAATGTAAAAAAGCATCTATGAAGGTCCAGGCAGCATCCCTTCATCCAAATGAAGTCCCTCAGGAACCATAGACTCACATCTCAGTCAACATGATAACCAGGCTTCTAGACTGCAATGGCTATGATGCAATTCTCATCATCATTGATAGATTCTCAAAGATGATCATCTTGATTGCCTGCTCAACTGAACTGACATTAGAATGGTGGGCAAAAATCTTATGTGACAAGGTCTATACCAAGTACAGAATGCCACAGGTGGTAATCTCAGATCAAGGACTACAATTCATCTCTAAATTCTTTAACAACTTGTATAAACTTCTCAATATTCATCAGAACACTTTCACTGCATATCATCCACAAACCAATGGCCAGACAGAATGCATCAACCAAGAAGTGGAGAAGTATTTATGCCTCTTCATCAACTATTGCCAAGATGATTGGATGGAATGGCTGGCTCTCATCACCTTCCAGCATAATAACCATATTTATTCTGCCATAGGCAAGACACCATTCTTTATCAATCATGGCTGACACCCCAACATCACACAGACATCTTATGTCCACACTGCAATCCCTGCCTCATCCAATTTTGCTGCTATTATATCTAAAATTCACACTGAAACAAAGGCCACTTTGGAAAAAGCAGCTATGTCCATGAAAAAACAGTATGACAAACACTATTGTAGTGCACACTACTCCTACACCACCAATAGACACAACCAACCTCTATCTACCACAACCAAAGCAGAAACTCTCCAACAAGCAGACCAGACCATTCCTGACACTGGCCAAAGTCAGCACTTCCATCTGTCACTTTTAACTACCAACACATTGAAAATTCATGACATTTTCAATGAGGCATTATTGATACTGTATATTGCACCCACATTCTCAAATCAGAAACAACCTCTGCCACTGCCTCCTGATCTAATCAATAATGAGGAGCACTATAAAATTGATCAAATATTGAATCACAAGCTCTGAAAAGTCAAGGCAAGAGGAGAGGAAATGATGATGATGGTCAACTAGCTGGTTAGTTGGAAAGGCTATAGCCCTGAATCTAACCAGTGGGTTAATGAAAAATGGATAGATGCTGCAGACACAATATGAGACTATAAACTGTCTCTAAATTAAGCCATTAGGATGATGATCTTAAGGAGAAGGCAATGTTATGATTTTTTCTCCTTTTTCTTTCTCTTCTCAGAATTAACCCCTATTTATGCTTAGTCAAAGCACTTAAACTAGTGCTTAGAACTGTGAGACTGGCTTAGTCATCACAACAAACCTAGTCAGTCATTGTCTTTTGATGCAACAGCATTGCTTGACAATGCACAATGGTACTATTGTAGACAGCAGTGATACTCAAGAACAACAAGCATAATAGCCAGCATAGATATAATAAGTAGAAATATTTATAGTAGCATAATGACATGTATATAAGTAGGACAGGTCTCACTGGTGTAACTCCAGCTTCAAGCTAAAGTTTATTTATACTTATTCTACTCTCAAGCTATCCTCTTATGCCTTGAAGCACTTTGATCACAGAAGCACATCAAGTGGACTCTAGCAGAAGGCTCAAATGCAAAGTCACACTAGTTTATCATGTGTTCCAGATCACATGCAGCTTGAGCCTAACAATAACTTTGCCAGGACTTTCATCTCTCCTCTTCTGCCATTCTCATACTTACCTTATGCAGTACAGCTCTTACTGTTACCTCATACTCACTAAAACCCCAACAGTTTCCATCCAGTCTTTCAGAAACTGGTGCTCATTCATTATTGAGCCTGCCCATGTTATTAACACTAGGTTTTTATTTGTTGTCTTTTTACTAAAGCAGTTGCATGTTATCAAGCAGTCTAGCTCAAGTCTATTGTTAACCTTTTTCCTTCGCCTATTTCAAATCTCTGTTCTCATATGAAGAGCATGTTCTTATGTTGTATTGCTCTCTCACAGCAGGCATTCCAGATGGTTTGAGTGGCTGAGAAGACTACAATCCTGAAGAAGTGTTTCTTTCCTTCATCTCTATATTCATTTGGTGACTTGAGGACTGGAGAGGCACATGCTAGGATGTGTGACAGTTTTGAAGAGTGCTATAGGATATTCCTTATTTTGAGTAGCTGTCTGGTAAGCTCTCATATTTTTTTTGACCTGGAGAGGAGCACTCAGTCAATATATGCTTCATTTTTTTCATACAGCCATCGCATTGAGTGCAATATGCATGATCATAGTATTGCAGGGTAAACTGCAGCCACTTTTCTTCTATTCTGTATGCATTATGCATTGTCATCCACAGAAAGTATCTGATGTTTCAGTCTATGTCTTTATGGCAGATCAATTTCCATAAGGCAGTTGGTGTTAGTTGCAACCCAAAGTATTCTTTTGCTCTCTGGCTTGCTAACTTAATGTTCACTCTTGTCTTTTCCCTCTTAGGCAGTTTTTGATTTTTTTGGCCTCAAAAGGCTTTATATGCATGACTTTATATTAGCTTGTTTAGGACAGCACCTGTGACTTTTAGTTTCAGGTCTATTTCTAAGTCTATTGTGTCATCTTGTTCTTGCTCTGACCTCTCTTTTGTTAGTCTGCTTGCTTTACTAGTTGTATGATGTTCATTTTGGTCTTTGTTCTGCTATATCATTGTCATCTGTTGCCTGCTTCTGAGACTGGCTACTATTGCTTAAAGGGCTTTCTTGTTGGGTATGTCAATATATCCTGAGTCTTTCATCTTTTTTAATGATATTGATAGATGTTTCATCATATACATTAAAGTTAATATATTCAATATGCCTATTACCTATAGTCATGTAGATCTCACAGTACTCTGAAATAGAGTTTCTGCATTGAGTGTTCTGTTAGTATTATAAACTGAAATGAGCCTAGTGATCTTTTACATGTTAAATCCATTTTGTTTGACAAAGTCCTCATCAATAAAACTCCTCATGCAGCCATTGTCTAGTAGCACTTCTGTGCTTATGATCTGATGTGTGTCAAGTATCTCCAGCTGAACCTTGAGGATAGTTTTATCTCCTCTCTTAGTGAAGGCAGCAGGGCTTCAGGCATATCTGTTAGGAATGTGCTAATAGGGGAAAAGTTGATTGCACATATAGAGACTGATAGAATGCATGAGCCTTTGTGAAGCTATTAGCAATGCCACTCTTGAGTCAAAGCCCAAAGTATTTTGCATGACAGAGTAAAGTCTATCAGAGAGGTGAAATGGAGAAAATATCCTTTAGAGTAGAGTCTATCAGACAAAAGAGAGAATTCAGAGGTGAGTACAAAGAGTATTGAGCTAATTCAAGTTGATATTTGAACTGAGTATCTATAATGATTATGCAAGGCTTATATGCTAGTAACTAATTTCAAATCTGAATCTGATGAAATCTGATATTAAGTAATCCTACTATATCAGAGACAGTGATGTGAAATGTGGATATAAAATATTAGAAGATAATTCAAATAGAAGGATATTGTTATGATTTTTCCTATTTTTCTTTTTCTTTTCCTTGGAAATAACCCCTATCTTTGCTTAGTCAGAGTGCTTAGGCCAGCACTTAGGGCTGTGAGAATGCTTAGCTCAGCAACCCAGTCAGTCACTGCTCTATCATGCTGCTGTATGCTGTGAAGGGAGAGACAATGCTTCTTTTGTTCTCAAATGGTGGTGCAGAAGTAACAGCAGGACAGCAGGACAACAGCTTTTGTGGAGAGCCTGGCAACAGCAGGGGTAACAGCTCTACAACAGACAATATCTTTTGTGAAGTCTCTATTAATAACCCAATAACAGAACAGTATTTAAGTAGCATCATTTTCACTGTAGTAGCTCCAGCATTAAGCTAAAGTTTATTCTTCACCATCTACTCTCAAGCTCAAGCTTCTTGCCAACACCTTGACAACACAACTCTATGAACACATCAGTGGACTCAGTCAGTCTAACCTGAAGTGTGAGGTTCTGAACTGTTTATCATGTGTTGATAGTCACATGGAATTTGGGCTTAACAGATATAAAAGAGAAAAGAGTGGAGTCTAGTGGATACCAGTGATGATAGTACAGTGGTCAGAGTGGATGTTAAAGTTCATGTGAAGTAGAGACTATTGGCATGCATATAACAATGTCTTTCATTGCATGTGATAAATCTAAAGATTAAAAGAATAAGATAAGAGCCTGCAAATGTGATTGTAAATAAGTTGTGTCTTGAAAGATTCATGAAGGCATCCTAGATCAAAGACCATCAGACTGAGGCATGAGAAGTCTCAAGCTAAATGTCAGATGCTGACCAAACAATCACAAATGCTTAGCACTGCAATCACTAGAGTCTGATATGAACTGATAATGAAGGAAGATGATAAAGGAGATAAGATATAAGATGATGATAAAGAAAGAGAGAGAGAGAGAAGAAATTCATAGACTTGGGCTGCCAGCTTAAGATCACAAACATAGGAGTTGCACCATGAATGCTATAGTTTAATCAATATATATTAATCTTAGCTTGAGACTAGGGCATATCATTGTATATTACTGTTTTAAATACTGTATGGAAAATTCTTAGCCCTATGGGCATGTATATAATTCCATTCATGTGTATACTAAATATGCTCTAATAGCAATGATCTTTATGTTCAGCAGGTATACTGTTATCTGTCCACTATGAGGTCATTACAATGAGTTTTACTTGAGCTGCAGTCATTCTGACTAAGACCATGCCACCACACAGTCATTCCATGTGATCATCATGCTGATACAAGCTGTGTGTCATATGGCAATAATTAAAATACAGCATAGTGTTATTATACATGCATTATCTATGGTCTCATATGGCTTCAGTGAGGTTTCTGCATGGCTGAGAGCACTTATTCATCAAAAATGATCAGGTTTTCATAAGCATTGGCTTACTAAGCATCAGAAGGTCATGATTAGAGGCAAAAATCATGACAGAATCTATCAAATTTTACAGAGTTCAACATCTGCTCTGCTTTGGACAAAGCCATATTCAATTTCTTCATGTGTTCCTGGATGACCAAGTCCCAGCACTCCTTTGCTACTCTATCAGTCTTGACTCCTAAGCTGAGCAGATCAACAATGTTCAGAACAATGTGTGAGTGTATCAATTTGTTATGGAATTTCCATTCATTGCAAGATGGAATAGAATAGTAGATGGGCATTAGTATAGAATTGGATGGTGTAGCACCAGTGATAGTCACTGAGATGAGGGGACAAGTAATGGAGCTGTCAATATGGCCAGTCAGTCCCTTTTCTTTGAGTAGCTCAGATATCTATACCTTCCACAAAGCATAGTTTTTACCATTGAAATGGTTACTAGTGTTAGAGAGTATGGTTACCCTGGGTATATTTGTCAACCTATCTTGTAGGACCAAATAGCAGTGTGTTGTATATAGTGTATATAGTATGTGTGTGGTTTGATATCAAACTGATGAGTCACCAAAATTCACTGTGTATTCTTCTTGACCAAAAAAGAAAATTATAAGCAATGAGGCCATATAACATAATGATGGAAGGATAAAGGTAAGAACTATATAAGTAGATAAGTATGAGAACAAAGCAGTAAAGTAAAAGCATACACATCTCAGTCAGCACAGCAAAAGCAGAAATGGCTGAGGTGTGGAAATCTATGGTATGCTTTATATATATAATTGAGGCATGATTGAGATATAGACAGAAAAGATAATCCAAGAATGATAATGTGATAATGTGAAATGGTACTAATGATATATGGATCATCTTCAACATCTAATGCATCCTCCAACTAGACTTTTTTTTTTGTGGAATATTTAGTATGGCTTTGTATACTCTGCACAGCAGGAGTCTTCTGACTAGCAGAGTGTTGGAGTTGTCAGGTGATGTATAGACAAGCACATTGCCATGACATATGTGATGTTCTTGTATAGATATCATTTTTCTTTGACCTTTTTTGTATTTGCATCTGTTGTAAATGTCTTATCTATTGTGTCATTTATGTGCTCATGATCATCAGTTGCTTTCCTCATCTGTTGACTGTGACAATTGGGGTGAGCATTATAATGATTAACACTGTACTTATAATTTATGGTATTTCATAGTATACTGATATTGTACTATTAGGTACTTGAATTCTCTCATCTGTTGACTGCAACAGTTGGGTATACTGACATTGTACTATTAGTACCATTCCTCTTCATACCTGAATTCTTACACAGAATGATATGCCAATGACACTGTACTTGACACGTTAATGGATCGGGGTCTTATAACCCCGTGAGCGTGATGAGAATTCATAGACGTGTCATAAGGCATACGGTTAGGTGAAGGTGCCGCACAGTGAACCAAGCACACGAGGTAATGCCTTTACACACTTAGTTTCGTGTTTTGTCGAGAAAGTCCTGTATGGGACTCTGTCATATAGACTCCAGCTTTGTCATGGTTAGTACCAAGCCATCATCATCTATTTCACAATGCCCACTAAAACCCCGTTTTACCTTGTCCAGTCCTCTGGGAGAGAGCTTTCCTGCAGAAGCGTTCCCTACCACACCTTTAGAACGAGGAAGACTTGTATTGCCTTCTTCTGGAACTTCTTCTTGTCTGATAGTATGCAGTCCTGCCGCATTCGACGATTTACCATGTGTAACCACCGCTGTTCGATTTCACGTGGTGTATTCCGATCAGACTTGTATGCTCACACGAGCTGTGAAATCCTGCACACCACCTTTTGTGGTTTTACGGTAGTCTTTGTTTTTTTGGATCGATTATATGGATCCTGTTACATGCGAGTAAAGATGCTCCTTATCGTATTCGTGTCTCCTATAATATAGGCCCGGATAGATTACTAGAGATTTGAGAAACCACGCAGTCATATGTTCGACGCGATATAATCTTTCGAGTCGATTTTCTAAGACGAGATGCCAGGAAGAGTTTTAAGTTTGGGAACTGAGGAATCTTATTACCTTTCTGGACAGAAGGCGACATTGTTGTAGCTCAGCTTGTGTTCGAGTGACAGTTTTCGGAGGGCGGATTCAAGAAATGGATGCCAGAGATTACATGCCATACAGCTGAGTGTCTAAAAGCATCGTTCAAAGGAGGGTAAGCCCAAGGTATACTGGCAGGTGCCTACAACAGAAGGAACATAATATACACGGTTGGATTCCTCTCAAGCGGGATAGATAAAGATGGGGAAAGGGGGAGTACGTACCGATTCACCGCCAGATGATTCAAAAGATGTATTCTCACATTCAAAACAACAGGGCCGCAAATCTTCCGATTATCCATTATCGCTTTAGTCATGAAGACCGGGAAGAAAATGAAGCCATGTTCAGTTGCGGTCAAAAACAAAATCGAATGGGAATACCGTTTTGAAGCATGAGGTGCCTTCTGACGATGATAAACAAGAAAAGGAAAGAATCTTGCACAAGAAGAGCTTGACAGAGAAATGTGAGAAAAGCGGAACAAAAAAAGTCAAAGGGACACCAGGGAAAAGGAACGAGTGCAGGTGAAAAGCACCGAGCGAAAAGAGGAATACTGAACGATACATGCTAGCATAGAAATACCAAGATTCCATAGAAGATAGTGTGGGAGCACTTGTTCGAAACGACGGCAATACGGACAAGGAAAACCGGTTAACGTCGTGCCGAAAGGACAAGAATCGTAATGAAAATGACGTTCTCACGGTTAAACGTACAAAAGTGCACCGCCACCGTGACCCAAACATGCGATCGATCATAAAAAGATCTGATCATCCCTGCACCTCCAATATTTGTGCAGTCCATGTTTGAAATTCCAAATGGATGTGGTATGCATATTACTCCTTTGCATCAACCCCGCGACCTCAGAGATTGACGTGCGAGTGAATTGAGATGGGGAAAGCTGGAAACCACGCATTAGAGGGGTGGGAGAGCTCAAGATCTACTGAATCTGGTAGAAAGAGAGAAATAGCTTTATGTTCTATGCTTACACAATTTTCCGTGAACAGAACTGAGTTATCTATGTGACTGGTCGGTGGAGGGTCAGTATACGCAGAGCGCACTAAGTAACTTGTTGTACACGGTGGATCGAGGTGGACTAAGCCGCGGCTGCCGAGCGCAGGAAACCGGTCCGAAACACGAGTTCGTTTTTGGTTCTTGACCATTTTTATCTGGCCGTCCACGCTCATAAAGCACCCCAACATAATGTCGTCAAGGACGTCGCCACTTTCCGCGATATGTATTGATCTTGACACGATATCCTTCTATCTGGAACGTTAAAAGGTCATCGAAGACCATCATGACTGGCACCGCTGTCCCTGTACTCTATGTAGGAGCCGCGTTGCGTCAATATAACTGAGACAATATCGTCTTTTAAAGTTAAACCCCGTGTTTTCTGTCCCCTAGGTTGATTCCCATCATCAGGTTCTCAGGATGTTCGAGAAACCGCAGCCAGTTCGTACCCTTTCAATTCAGGACGGGTGTCACAGGACTCTCATTCTCTGTACCGTTGTCCCTGGACGATCCCATCGGACTCGTCTGGTGTTCCGCTCTACCCTCGATATTTAATCCCATGATCATGCCCGTGGTCATACGTTTGGTTGGCAGCGGGTATATATATTCTATTGTTCATGTTCGTTCTCTCTAACAACCGTGATGGATGCTCCCCAGGACAGCCAACATACAAAGTATACCGACAGCGAGAAAAGCCAACTCAGCCTCGAACTCGATGCACGGTCGTCAAGGAGATTATGGTTCAAGATGGACTTCTTTATACTTCCAGTCGTCGGCGCATTCTATTCCTTGTCGATGCTCGTACGTCCATTATCTCGTTGAATTTCTCACACAACTGATAGCATTCACAGGACAGAACGAGTATAGGCAATGCGCAGGTGGCAGGACTACAAACCGACCTCAAAATGACAAACACGCAGTATAGCATTGCCCTGACTGTCACCTACATCCCGTACATTGTCGTTGACCTCCCCTCAAATTTGCTACTTCGGGTAGGTCATTTTTTCCTTCTGTTCAATGTTTCTCGAGCTTATTGGCGCTTACTTAGGTCATTGGACCGAACTATCTCCTGCCCACCACAGTGGTCCTCTGGGGCGTAGTCACGGCCCTTCAAGGACTGGTGAAAAGCTATAGCGGCCTCCTTGCCTGTCGGTTCTTCCTCGGACTCTTAGAGGGCGGCATCTTCCCCGGATTGGTATTATACCTTTCGCATTTCTACCCCCGCGTCAAAATGACCACCCGTGTATCTGCAATGTACGCTTTCGCCTCAATCACAGGGTCGTTCGCAGGGATACTCGCCTTTGGTATCTCACAAATGCATGGCAAGCTCGGACATTCAGGGTGGCAATGGATATTCATCATCGAAGGCTGTTTCACTATCTTTGGCGGCATCGTGAATGGCTTGCTCATGCCTCGAGATCCCATGTCTGCGAACTTCTTGCGTCCAGAGGAGCGCGAGTATGTCGCCAGTCAGGTTTCTGAGTCTGGTGGAGAGAAGTTCGAGTGGAGAGAAGTCAGGAAGGCATTCCTCACGCCGCACGTTTGGATCCTGAGTGTTGTATTCTTCTTTTCTGGCATCCTCCTCTTTGGTTTGGCTTAGTACGTGTAATTCCCCTCTCTTTCTCACCCTTATCAATGTAACTGACCTTTTATTTCATAGCTTTACACCGTCGATTGTCCAGAGCTTGGGATACAGTTCGGCCCGCTCGAACCTCATGAGTGTGCCGCCGTTTGCTGTCGCCTTTGCGGTGTCATTGGGCACCTCCTACTTATGTGACCGATTCCATATCCGAGGCCTTGTCTGCATCATCTCCTCCATCGTCTCCATGATAGGATTCATTGTCTTTCTCAAATCGACGGCCCATGACACCCGGTATGGCAGTCTGTTCCTCTCCATACCTGGGGCGTTTACCTCCGCTCCGACGCTGGCGGCATGGAACGCGGCCAATTCTGAGCCGCATGTTCGCCGAGCGACGACGATCGCTATTGGGGTTATGATGACGAGCGCCGGGGGGATCTTGTCGACGTGGTTGTTGGGGAGCTTGAGCGCTGCGCCTGATTATACGCTTGGGACTAGAGCGATGATTGCGTTTAGCGCTGCAATGGCGATGGGGTCCGCGGTGTGCTTGGGGTATTTCAAGTGGATGAATCAGAGGAAGAAGACGGTGCTGGGACGGGGGGTGAAAGGGATGGAGGGGGATATGGCTCCGTCGTTTACCTATTTGTTATGATGGGATGGCTGGGTGTTTCTGTTCATGGGTACACGCTGTTCATCTACCACTGTTCAAGTAGTAATATGTATGCTCTGAATGATCTCTCTAAGGTGAATCGTTCTGTCGGTCACGTTGAGAACACGGATTACAATTTTTGATGGGAATAAATATTACTTCTTGTTCCCATCGCGCGCAGCGGCGGCACTACTCGTGGAGATCTCCCAAGTTGAAATGTTAACGAAGCCTCGTAACGGAAAGGATTGGCAAATGTCCGTAGCCTCACGAGACATGTCCCGCTGAATGCTTACCTAGCCGGAGTCCTTGGCGAGCCCATTTTGCGGACTATATTCGTGTTACTTCGGGACCTTTGTTCTCATGCAACGAGAGCGCTGAATCAGGTTCGTTTAATGGAACGTCACAAGGCGGTCTATATTCGAAAGAGACCCAACGCCGCCGTCAAGGTCCCTGTGATGATTACAGGGCCATCGTTGCTTGTCGCCCCTCATGGTCCTATGCGGTCTATTCGGATAAGGCTTCTGATGAAAGGTCTGAGGGATACCTTCAGCCGGTCAAGGTGCTGCGAGGTCGTCATGACTCCGAGAGGTATTTGAAGTTGTAAGTACGAGCTTCATGTTTGTTAATATTGCTGTGTCATCTCTCAAGCTGCAAAAGACTGAATTAATAGTACCTGTCAAGAGACATCCGAAAAGTCCGATGGAGGTGTCGACTGAACCTCTCGACAATCTGAATTCGACAAAGCAAGTTTGAGCAACGCGTAAGGTCACATCCCGTGACCTGTGACATAACAACAGTGAAGCATGAAACCAATGTGCAACAGTGAAACTATGTAAACAGTGCCTTCCGTGATATTCAGGAAATATCCGGGCTCGCCAGAGTTCCAGCAAAGAAAGTCGGGAGTGCCTCCGAGGGATTGGGTACCGTTGGCCCTTGGGAACTTCGAGGCTTCCCCCGGATATGCAGGATGTGCTGGGACAATGCCCAGTTTCTCAGCCAGACTCTTACCGGATACACAACTCCCATAGCAACTGTACGCGATGGGACATCCTTTACCCGGGTGAGGATGGAAGAGCATCAGTTGGCTACAGCGAGCGTTTTCTAGATGAAATCATCATCAGGGATCCTGTCTGTATGTATATTCCTTAGTCTTTACAAAGATAAAAATATTCAGTCTGGTCAGGTCCCCCAGCTAAAAAAAAAAACAGAAATCTGCACGCAAACTCCCGCCTGAAACATTCACTTCTCATTTCCGCACCATCATGCACCGCACCACCGACAGCCTTTCAAAGGAGAATGAATGCCTTTCCGAGGTTATCTCTGAGCTCAAAGGCCAGCGCGACACGTTCAGGCAGCAAGCAGGGAAGATGAGACAGGAGCTGAGCAAGTTATTGCGTGAGAAGGAGAAGGTCGATTGCGAGAATGCAGACCTCAGGTAAACGGTCATGGGTTTAGAGGAGCGCCTGGAAGATCCTGTGATTGCGGTACGCATCACTTACCTTCACCGAATATCCCTACCTCCACCGAATATCCCTACCTCACTGCAGTTGTCCTGTAGCAATCAGAAGTCATTGGGACATCCGCCGTCACCTCCCAAACTCAAGATGCCCAAGCCAAAGCCCATATCTGGCAATCTCCAGAGCAACAGGTGTCCACCAATACAATCACGATTAAAGAAAAAGACCTGATACCAGCGGGTGAAGCTATGTTGTTCAGGAAATATGCCAATTCTGACTTACCAACATTACCTGGTCCCAGCCCAGCCTCGAAACACTTGTATTGATTATCGTGATATCTTATACTTTCCAGAAGGCTTGCTTTCATCAATGTCAAGCCCCCCTGCCGAAGCAAGTATCACTCGTTCTACCGTACCAGAGAGGACAACCGTTCGTTCACGTCCTTAATCTTTTGGTCTGACGCGACTCATATAAAGGCCAGCCTGTCACACCTCCAGCGGTGGATTATGTACAGGAGTCCGCTCAAGTCAATCCAGCAGCCAGCATTTCTTCGCCAGTCAACGTGTGTTTCTCTAGTTATGTTACAAGCAACATACTCATTTTTCTTAGCAGCCCTCAGGCCACAATCCTATCTCCCCAGTGAGCAGCTTCTCTTCTCGTTCATGTTCATAAACATGGACTTCCCACTAGGCATCACATGGAAGGGGAACCGTATGTATTTCACATTATTTGTATCTTGTACTCCAGTTGATGAGATCCCGCCCAGCCATTGCCACATACGCCGCCCCGGGGTTGGGCCTTTACGACAGTGCGTTTTTCACCATTGCGTTTTCTCCCATCCTTTTCTAATATCAATCTCGTCAGCCCTCACGTGGAAGAGGCAGGGTGCGTATGCGGTTCCTATTCTTGCTTTGCATAGATCTCACTCTATCTGCATGCAGGCCCCGACTCATATTCTCGTCGGTGTCTATAGCATCGCCCTAGCCCGGGCCCACAATTTAAATGCGGTTCTGAGGAATCACCCATGATCGATCCCGAAACGAAGAGGAGGAGGCTCTGATGAAGTTTGGTCTCGAACTTTGTAAATGTAAAGCGCTACTAGACTGGAGTGTGATTTGCATCCCTCAAGCACTTAACTTTACTTCCGATGGCGATCAACTGAAAGCCAGTGGGCGTGGGTTACTATACTTTCTTATGTCGATGATAATTCCAGAGTGTCATGTTTGCACAGCTCGCCCTGCTATTGTTCACTAGCACAGAATTCCGTGAACGTATGAGCCCAAATATGTGAGATTGACTAACAATAGCTCCTGCCCTTGAGCAGGGGTATCTGCTAAATCAAATCACCGGACGAACAAATTGGCACTGTCATACCGGCTGGGAACTTGGCGATCTCCAAATTATTTTCAAGTTGTGCTTTTCATTTCCTTTCATCCATCATGCCCCGCACCGTCGAAAGCCTCATCAAAGAGAACGAACGCCTCTCCGAGAGCTCCGAGTGGAACGCGACAGGTTTAGATGACCAGCGGCGAAGAAAAGACAGGAGTTCGGCAAGCTGCAGAGTGAGAACGGGAGGGTCGATTGCGAGATTGCGGACCTCAGCTGAAGGGTGTCGAATTTAGAACAATGCTTAGTCGCAGCCTCCAGCTCCCCGGCTTCTGAGGATATTATGCACGAGTCTGCTGAAAAAGCAATCGTCAGGGTATGGGACATCATTAGATATCTTCTTGAGTACATGCTAGTGCTGATATATCGATGTTTGAGGCTCCAGAACCAGACATTTGGCAACAGACAAGCTCCGACGAGGAGTTCAGACCGTACCGGGTTCCGTGAACTGCCTTGTGCTTGTCCCCACACTCTTCTTCTGACCAGCGCATAGTCATCTACAAAGACTCGGAATCGTGCAAGGGGACCTTCCGAAACACCACCAGAGTCTGATTCAGAGATCCCAAGGCTAATAAGTCTCGCTAGACGTTCTGTGCGCCAGTAGTGGCTTTTTATCTTATCATTGTACGCGGGACACTCATCTAGCGTGCCTCAAGTTCCGTTCCGAATTGTCGAGCGGTAAATGGCTCATTTTCACTGACGGTCCTACGTTGCTGATAAAAGCCCTTAGAGTGTGTATGGTCCCGAAGGAGACAACGACCTTAGTACGTATCAAAGCATACAGCGTGTCTCTTCTCGTACTTCCTTGCTTGATCATCCTTTTGCTCAGATTCACCTAACCCGCTCCTTCATCCATCCTTTAAAAAGGCTGAGTTTCTACTACTCTTTCATTTATCCTTTTCCTTGCCATGTCTCCATAGCGTCGCGTTGGAACCCAGGTTCGTAGAATACAGTCTATCTTTTTTCCCGCCCGACGCTCATTATGTAGTCAGGAATCGACTTCATGTTATTTACCTGATACATGGCATAGGATAAAGCTTCTATGATGCCGGTTCTCTCCAAACCGAGGGACGCCTATACTTGGCCTCTGAAACCGCGAACGTTCCCTCTGAATAATACAGAGATGTGGATTACCAGGGCCACCCTTTTACTCAGAAACCTGGGAGCTCCGGGATCTTATCGTGGCCCCCCTCACCTGGGGTATCCTTGCAGCAGCTTGTCCTGAAAATAAGAACATCTCCTTGTCAGACAGATATTGTATCGTCCATTTCGGCATCGAATCCACCTCGACTGCGCAGATAAGACGGCTTCATCAGCGTCTCTTTAGGCCGATTCCTCTCGTACCCCGTCGGAATCGAAGGGTAGACAATGCGCGCTTTGTATCTCCTGAGGGTATCATCTAGCCATCAAACCGGGCTCATGAGGATGAGGACTTTATCAGTCAACAGTTAAACACACCATGCTACTTGGATAATACTCTGGCCATTTCCCTCACGCTTTCTACACGAGCCGAATGCGACGAAAAATCCACGTTGTAGGGCAGGGACCAAAACTTGCAGCAGGAGAAGAGCCATCACACGCGGTGCGCAGATCAGGACCGTGGACGCGTTTCTACGTCGTACGACACGGAAACAAGGCGCCGCCTGACATGGTGGTCGAGAAGAGAGAAGAGTTATGACTGTGATGTCGTTTCCACTTGATCGGCTGCCCCGCTTCGGTCCCGCTTTTTGCCAATTGGCCAGAAGCGGCATTGAAGCGACTGCCGCAAACGTTTCTGCCATTCGCAGAACAATTTCGGAACTCTGGTATCTTGTCGACGGCCCAAACGATATTATTTGTTCTGTTACCAAACAATACTGTGATGCCACCGCTGGCACAAATCCACGTTTTCGAGTCGAAACTGGCGATGAATGGTCCCCTCACTTCCCTCCCACTTTATGGCTTATCCTTTTGTCTGCGTGGAATATTATTCATTGTCTTTTCGATTCAAAGCAAGCAACCGCTGACCCTTTCTGCCATTGTCAAAATCGTGGCACGACCTAAGCATGATCGCCTTATTCTTCCACATCTGACACTCTAAGACAAGACTCATTGTCCCTGCTATGGGTACATCCACTCAGGTTACTATATAAGCCGCTCGAAATTCCCAGAACTGACCTCCATCAGTCCCCACCATTATCTGCACAGCTCATACTCGACCGTTCTTCCCTTCTTCTGCAATGTCTTATAGCTATGGATTCCCATTCCCCTCCGACCAGGTACGGTTCAATTCTACTTAGAAAGAGTAACGAAGCATTGACACTAACTGCGTATATAGAAACCGATTGCAGGCACCGAATTCTTCTCCCCTGAAATGCTCAGTGGCGGAAACGTATGCTTCACCGCTATCCACATTCGTCTGATTAACCCTTCGTTTGCGAAACAGAGCCGCGGTCAGGCTCCCCAGGTACAGAGTCAAGGGCCTCCTCCCCCTCCCCCTCCGGTAAGAATTTTCGATCCCTACCGTTCTGTTTTAGTATTTATTTTCTGTTCAGGCTCCTATGAATGGCACTGGACAAGTGAGTACCTCTCCGGACTGTAGCTTCGGTCAAAATCTCACCTGCCCGACGCGTATAGAAACAGCAGAGATCGTTGGAAGACAGGGATACTACAGCTAACAGTACTATTATACATCCCGCAAACTGACTGTAGTTCTTTCCCGAATTAGCTACTCGCTCTTGATTGTAGTTTCAATCCATACTTTAAGTGTTCTTCCCTATACCTTTGTTCAAATCCTACCCCTACCACACTCGCGTTCCGAGCTAGCCCTTCAACATACCGCAATGATCGAAGCTAATAACATGTGTATTGCCTCCGAAATAACAGACGCGAGCAACAGACCATCAGAAATAACTGTATGGAGCAGCCTCCCAAAATTATCAGTACAGTTCCCTCATATTCAGCGTCACATTTCTGCTGGGCAAAAAAGACGCTCGATAGACGCGAGAACAGTTTTGTCACTGTAATCGGTGGGTACCTTCCATCGCGTAGAGAAACGTTCGTAAAAATACCGTAGCAGGAAGGGATAAAGTATACCTGGAAACCCGTGTTGGAGTAACAGTCGACCCATGATAAGTACTTTGTCCAATCTACAATCAGGCTGTGAACAACAGTCTTCCGGAGACGACTAGACAAACCGTCCTCCCAATCGAAACCGCTATGGGCCTAAATGAGAACATACTCATCCAGGTTGAACGCCCACCCGAAAGAATTGGTCTATGAAGCTATGAACGTGGGGAAAGGCCTGAAACAGCAAAGCGACACTGAGATGTCCTGAAATCAGACACGCATTCCAGCGGCTTATTACCGGCGCCCGTCTTTTGCTGGCGACACAAGCTTTCTGTTCGTAGTGGGGGGTAAGAAAGACGAGTCGGGATGGAGAAAACGAACGATATGTAATGAAAAATATCATTCTCGTGTTGCATAGCAGAACTCGCGCTGACTTCTTAGATGTGGCGAACGACCATGGTGGAAAGCCTAGCAACCGCTATTGGCAAATGGGACAGACAAAAAAGGTATTCACCGCCAATGCTGAAACTGCCATGGCAACGTCCGCCATTTCTTCCCCTAGTACATAATTTCGATGGCACACCAATCCTTTATCTTTCAATGTCCCCATTACTCAGTCAATCTGGAGACTAGGATGTGTGAATGTCAGGTAATGTCTAAGCCATACCTCACCAAGATTCAACAGCGATTATATACTTTTTAATAGAATTCTTCACTGGCCCGTTTATATAATATGCCTTCATAAATAAAAGCTGCTGATAAATCCAACCTCGCCATGCTGACGTTCGGGGCCCGAATCTACAACCACATGCATATGTAGCCGTGTAAATCCAACGCCGATCCCAAATCCAGGCATCCTCGTTTACTTACGGGTGCTCTTTATCCACCCGGGAATCCGGATATCCGTACCGCCCGGCCATTCCGCTAATCGACTCAGGCGATTGTTAATCTATGAAGGTGCACCGTCCGCAGCCCCAGAACTTTCTAACGAGAGAGATGTCTGTCAACAATTTTTGCTTCCCACTCCCCCCAGTCCTAGAAAACGAACGCGTGAAACTGGTGCCTTTTGATGTGAGTTAAAAAAATCAGGGGTGATCTGTCACTGATCCAGTCACATCATCTCCAGATCTCCGTACACGCAAAGTTACACGTCGACGCTGCTCCTCCAGCTTCCTTCTACGACTTCCTCCCTATCGGCCCATTCACCGACGCACAGGATCTCATCACGTCCTTCTGGGAGAAACGAATCGAACATGGGCCAGGGGAGACAGGGTTCGCCGTCTACGACAAATCCAAGCGTGAACACGCCTACGCAGGACTCATCACATACATCAACTCCTCCGCCGAGGACCTGGTCACAGAAATAGGCTTCGTGATGATCCTGCCAG